TCCCGTTACAAAGAATCCAAGAAAACACACGGAGTAAAAGTATGGAAAAATGGAAGAAACGAAATGGAAACTGAACAGAATAAAAATTCTTCAGAAAACCGTCGCCTTTGCCGTTTCAGATTTTTACCCTCCATCAACACACGCATGTGCACACATTAATTTTTACAAAATATATTTACTCAAACGTAAGTATATGCAATCAAGATACACACTCCCAGTTCTTTCTTTCATATATCCGCACACACAATCTCCGACGCAACATTCAAGATAAGGAGCCCGCGTAGAAAGTAATAACATGTGTGCATCTTTATTTGAGGTAGATGCTATAATAGGAAAGATTTTCGCCTTTATTTACTGATGCAAACACACATGCATATGAGATCAGATAGATAGTCACGTGTTATACATCAAAGTACAGAATTAATCAAACACATATATAGGCGAACATTTATATAGACAGAAATAGTTTGACTAATATAAAGTAATATTTAATATTTAATTCCCACTAAAACATTGTTAGCTACCGAGTTAAAAATAAACAGATTTTTTTTTTAATTATACGACTGGCCTGACACACACAGATACCCATTTATATGCACAACGTTAGATATGGATGTTCCTGGTATGGCAATTAAGGTTGAAACTTGCCATCAATCGTCGATAAGGTTTTGACTTGTTATCAGTTGCCTTTGTGGCCGTCTAACAAGGGAAATTGCACTCAGTAATTGTACATGCGTGCGTATGTGCGTGCGTATGTGCGTGTGTGCGTACGCGCCCGCGTGTGTGCGGGCGCGAGATAAATGTTTAAATATATGTATTGGAAAATTACTCCGGCCTACAGAAGAAATTAACAAAGGTAACTATTTCAAAAAGAAACCCCTAAAAACACACACACACACACACACACACACACACACACACACACACATTTTTTATATATATATATATATATATATATATATATATATATATATATATATATATATATATATATCGTGTGTGTAATAGATCAGGATACATCACTCCCATTTAAACAACGTTCATTTAATACATTTACACCAATAAATGGATGCTAACCAACAAATTATCATTCAAACGATCTATCTATCTATCTATCTATCTATCTATCTATCTATCTATCTATCTATCTAATACTATTAATAACAAGATAGTTCGCCAACTCCAGTTTATATCTATATACATATATTTAACTCATTCTATCTATCTATCTATCTATCTATCTATCTATCTATCTATCTATATATCTATCTATCTATCTATCTAAGCTTTTCTTGTCTACATGAGTGTGATGATAGCTACCTTGAGAGTGATTTGATAGGGCAAACAGCATAAGAAATCTTTTCAAAAATGTCGATGTGGATGTACTTCTCCCCTTCCTAAACGAAGTCTGTCTATACACGATAGTAGGAGGATACGACTAGGTATTTGTAACTTGAAATGTACAATATAGAAAATTCCGCTACCTTGGATTCAACTGGAGAATTTTTAAAAAGCTAATCCTTACAACAATCGTACCATTATTTGCAACAATTGTCATCATGAGAAATTAGCTATAATAACATTTCCAAACGAAAAAAAAAAATCTTTAAACCAGAGATCGGAAATTATGTCACGTTGTATTCATAATAAAACAAGTTTCTTTTTGAGTTCATTTGAAATGGGCTAAAAAGAACGAATGTATATTTCATTTAATCCGCCACCGATACATTTCCAATACAGTTGATTTCCCGCTCCTTCCCCTCTTCCTTCCGCTCAACACCTTCTACCACACCCCACGCTGTGTGTTTATTTATTTGTTTATTTATTTATTAAAATATAGTGCTTGTAATTTTTATTTTATTTTTAAAAAGCAAAGTTTTAGGAAATCAATTGAGCGAAATCGCCTGAAGATACCGAAAGGTTGTAACCACGGTAGCGGTATCGACGGTCTTCCTAATCTTTTATAAATAAAAGATTTATATGTCAAATTTTGATCTTTTTATATGTGTATTTAACACATTTTGATAATACTATTTCCTGGTCTAATTCAACACTGAACATTAACTTCTTTATTATTACACAGGTTATATATATACATATAATTTATATAAGGAGGCACAGTGGAATGAGGAATCGGAGAGCAGAGTTCGAATTAGAGTCAAATCTATTACATTCACTTACGTGCTAATACCGTTGGCAAAGGTGTGAATCCTTTTCTTCTCCCACCAGCTATGGGTAAAATAGCAGGACAGACTGGGTTCTATAGCCTTGGATGGCAACTGGTCTAAGAGAAGGAAAACTCTGAATTCAAACCCGGAGTGGAGCCCCTAAGGGGGATGGACGGCACTTTGTGCTACCTTCCAGCAACTCCTGCAGCAGCATTGGTATCAAACTGTATTGGTTTATTCTCTTCTTTGGACTCTTCTAGCTAGGCCGAGAGGGGGAAGTAGACGTCTGGGTAGCTCTAGTTATCCATATATCCCGCCCAGGCTCGTAGTAC